TTCCTAGCCCCCTGCCATGGTCTGGGATTCCTTCCACAAGACTGGGTTGCTCAGAGCCCCATCTACCCTGGCCTTGAATACCTTCAGGAAGAGGCAGCCACAACTTCTCTGGGCAATCTTTCAAGCATCTTATAACCCTCAGAGTAAAGAATTTTGTTGTAATGTCTAATCTAAACCTGCCCTCCTTCAGTTTAAAGACATTCCCCACTTCTGCTGTCACTCCATGCTCTTGTCAGAAGTCCCTCCTGAGCTCTCCTGCAGGGCTTTCATGTCCTGGAGGGTGCTGTAAGGTCTCCCTGGACTTCTCTTCTCTAGGCCAGACAGCCTAGGGAACTCCATCAGCCTGTGTTCTTAGCAGAGGTGTTCCAGCCCTCTTGTGGCCCTTCTGTGGACTCACTTCTACAGGTCCATGTCCCTCTCATGTTGGGAACAGACCTGGGGTGCAGTTCTGTGGGTGAGGTCTCATGAGAGTGAGAGGGCCAGAATCACCTTCCTTTGCTTACTGGCCACATTGCTTTGGATGGAGCCCAGGACACAGTTGTTCTGGGCTGTGACTGCACGTTGGCTGCTCATGTTCAATTTCTCATCAGCCATCAGCGCTAAGTCCTTTTCTTTGGGCTCCTCTTGATCCTTTCTCTGCACAGCCTGGATTTGTGTTTGGATTTGCTTCAACTTGGGTGGAGTATCTTGCACTTGGCCTTGTTGAACTTCTTGAAGTTCACACAGGCCCACCTCTCAAACCTGTCAAGGTCCGTCTGGATGGCATCCCTTCCCTCCAGCGTGCCAAATGCACCACAGTTTGGTGTCATTGACAAACTTGGGAGCACTTGATCCCACTCTCCATGTTGCTGGCAAAGGTGTTAAACAACAGACCCGGTTAAACAACAACCCTGGTTAAAATACAGTTACAGAGAAACACTTGTCACTGGCCTTCACTTGGACATCAAGCCATTGACCACAGCTCTTTGAGTGTCACCATCCACTCAAGTCCTTATCCACTGGTTGGTCTGTCTGTCAAATCCATGTCTTTCCAGAGGCAAGGACAGTGTCACAAGCTTTGCACAGGTCCAGGTAGTTGACATAATTTACTCTTCCCTTATCCACCAAAGCTGTTGTCCTGTCACAGAAGGCCACCAAATTTGTCAGGCATGGTCTTCCCGCATTGAAGCCATGTTAACTGTCACCAGTCACCTCCTTATTTTCCATGTGCTAGTACAGTTTCCAGGAGGTTCTGTGCCATGATCTTGCCAGGCACAGAAGTGACACTGACTGGCCTGTAGTTCCCAAATTCTTTTCCTTTTTAAAAACAGGTTGTTTCCCTTCCTAATGTTGCCATTTATGTGGACCCTGATCTTCATAATGTTTTTATTTCAGTCATATCACAAGGTGTGACATTTGTTTTCTTATGGATAGTAGATGAAGACATGTAGTAGGTGAAGAGGTCAGAAGTCCTTGCTTATTCTTTCCATGTAGAGGAAATAGTTTACCTGTCTTTATGCATGGGCTTGGTACTTTTCAGACCCTTGGGAACTACTGGGTTGTCTCTTTGACAATTTAGTCATCATGAAAGAAGAGGACCGTTCTGTGTCTCACTATTCTACAGACTCACTTTCTGGGGTGTATTACATTTTCTTGTTTTTCAGGCATTTTACTGTAACGTTGGGCTTTGTGAAAACTATGTCTTTGATCCAGAATAGTTCTGATACACAAGAATTATGCCTAAGGATTTTTTTTTTTCTTCACTATTCTTGTAGGGTTTTATGGGTGTGGTGTGGTGTTTGATTTGTGTACAGAAGGTGCAAGATCCTCAGTAATGTGGCTATATCAAAGACATACATAATGCTGATAAATACTGTAGTTGAGATGAGGATTTTAAACTGCAAAATCTTACATGGAATAGATGTAATCAATGGTGTTTGCTAGTCTTGTAGAGTCTGAGGCTATAAAACTTAAAAGTTTGCCCAGGATAAAAAATCCAAACTCAAGTTTTAAACTTGGCAGCCAGGTGTGACTGAAAACCATGAGTCCAAAAATTTTTTTGTGTATATTGTATAAAGAGGTAGAAAGTAAATGAGGATTCTATTGGAGCTATGTCCTCAATTGTTGCATTTTGAAAGACAAGCCATGTTGTTCCCAGAATGCACAGACAGCTCACTCTGGAAGTAGGGATGAGACCATGGTACCACAGCTCTAGGGTGGGGGCCTGAGAGAGAATTCCACTTAGCTTCCCTTCCTCCATTTAAAAAATTGCATATCTCTTCAAAGAGATTTTTCATTTTTTAAAAGTTGAAAACTGTCATAGTTTGTAGACAAGTGTCAGATATTTTTCAAATTACATGTGTGAAGAACTGAATGAAATGCTTTGTAAATTTCTGTGAGCATGAAGGTTCTTTCTGCTCTGCTGACAGTTGGTAAAGCTGTGATGTATCAGTACAAAGTGAACCTTTGTTAGCATAGAGCAAAATAGTAATACATAGCATTTTGGGAATGTTTTCCTACTGCAGATGTTGTCTTTGTGAACTTTCCATGTAAAATCAGAATAAATGAAGTTAACCCAGTGCAAATTTGCTGGTGTACCTGGATTTTCAACCACACAAATGGATCTGTATTTACTTATTTGCAGCTGTTCCCATGTGAAAGAGCTGGGGGGGTTTTGAGAGCTGGTGGGGCTTAGGTGGTTCTCATCAGTTTGTTTTCTTTTGCATGAAATTATTTCTTTTGCTAGTCTTTCAGTAGCCTGTTCAAAATTTTTGTTTTAAGTGAATCACTGGCACTTTGCACAAGTGATAGGAAAACCAGTGACTGGTAGCTTTTTATTCTTTCAGCACTAAATGCATTTCTCCAGTTTTGGTGCTCAAATAAGACTTGAAGCAGCAAATCCCAGCAAATTGCTCTGCTCCTTCATGTGAAGTCACAAATGGCAGCCCTGTGGTGGCTGCTTCTGAAGATGATTGGTTTCTCTTGGCCCCCATTTTTTACCCATCTTGTTCTTTGATTGCACAGGGACAGTTATTTGTACTGACAACTTGCTTTTACTTTGTTTTGAAACCGTGGGGAATTAAGAGTTCTTTTAAATGAGGGTAACCTTAGCCTGGTTTTCTTTGGAAGCAACAACAGATACATTGAAAGGGTTGAAACAGGTAGGCTGAAAAGCATCTGATGTTTGTGGATCTCTCTGAAGAGGGCGATTTTAGACAAGCATACATTTTAAGATGTTAAAGACTATTTTACCAATAGCCAGAATATTTCTTTCATGAGATGAATATGGGAAATCATGTATATGTATGTGAACAGACAGTGAAGAACAAGCAAGTCTGGTAATAAATTCTGTAAATTGTGAGAAGCCATATAAAAGGGACGCTCCATATCTTCAGGTGATTGAATAGAATACAGTAGCATTCTACTTTGATTTTATTGTTCTTCATTGTTCTTCCATGTCTTAGAAGCTGATCCCTCCTACTCATCATCATTTCTCAGTTAGTTGAATTTTTTTCTGAGATAGTTCAGGTTTATTTTATGATGGGGTACTGCTATCTCCAGCTGTCATCATGTTCATTTTAACACTGAGTTGAAGGCTTCAGGATTTAACACTGCATTTTCTTCTGTTTAACTTTCTTTTAAGTTCGATCTTAACTCAGAACTACTTGCTTTTCATTCTTATTATTTGAGAGGTCAGTGAAACTAACATTTTGTGTAAATTACAGTAAAACATTCAACTGTAAAATTGCATTTGTGGATATACTTTGCAACTGGAAAATATTACAGTGAAGTGTGAGTTGCCTCCATGTGCTGTGAAAGATGCATGTGCTTTTCTGAATAGTAAGTTTTATGTAATCAAACTAATCTTTAATTTGGCAAAAAGTAGTTTACAGCAGATAGAAAGGGGTTGGTTTCATTTCCCACAGTATGTTACTTGTAGTCCTGTTGTAGTCCTATTCTGCTATGGTACTGAGATATTGCTGTATTTAAATAATGTAATTTCTTTATTTGATTTTAGGAGAATGACATCTTCCTGGGCTGGGAAAAGGGAGCTTACAAGAAATGGGGAAAGAGTAAGAAAAAGTGCTCTGATCTAACACTAGAGGAAATGAAAAAACAGGCTGCTGTCCAGTGTCTTCGCTCTGCTTCTGATGAAGTAAGTTTGGACTATTTAATAGATTCTTAAAGCTTTATGTCCTTCTTTGTGTGAGATATATTTGGCTTGTGATGCTTATCTTTTAATTTGTGGCTTCTTAAAGTGCTAGTTTGCCAAGAGTTCTCAAAAAATTCTTTATTTTTATTTAGAAAATTATGAAATCCATGTATGTTGGGATGATTTCACAAGAGATTCTGTACTATGTAGTGCCATGCTTTCCTTTCTGTAAACCCTCGAGTTTTATTGTCAGGTCAGTTGCAATGCACCCATTTGAGTTGAAATTACCACAAAGCTTTGCATAAAGGTAATTCTAAAAATTCTAAGTTGACTTGGACTTTGTGTTGTGTGTGAATAGAAAGGACTGGAATATGTGGGCAAAAAGCCATCTTGCTCTGTGAATGCAACATGTGTAATCCAGAATTCCTGGATAAAAAGCCACGTATAGTAGCAAATGTTCACTTTCCAGATTACATGATTGAGTGGAAGTGAAATGCACTGACTAGAGCAGCTGAGGAGAGGTGAAGGCTGCAGGTTGAAGGAAGACAGCAAGGCAGCAGATATTGTGTATTTGAGCAGAAAAATGGACAAAGGGAGAAGCAGTTGAAGGCAGTATTTAGAAAGAAAGAATGATTTGTAGCACAAGTCAAAGGAAGCTCTCCAGAGAGGTTTTTCAGACAGCAAAAATGAGAAACTGTTTTTTAGTTTACAGAATGATAAATACTCTGATCTGTTGCTGCTGTAAGAAGAAACTACCCCACCTATGCAGCCTGGTTGCATTATTGCTCTACACACCTTCCTAGTCATAGCTGATGCTTGCACAAGCATTTGGGTGGTTAGGTGGGGAACTGGTTTGGGAAAGTGAATCAGTTTCCTGAGATTAACCTGGTTGGGGCAAAGGAAATGTTAACCCAGAGAGGTTTCCTGGTCAGACTTGTGGCACAGACACTCTTGCCAGTAAGGCCATGGAAGAGTAATCAAGGAAGTGGGGAAGATTTGGTGCTTATTCCCACCACCTTCAGCAGCATTAACATTACATTCTGGCTCACTCTGAAGCTACTTGAGTACTTGTTCAGTTACTAAATAGCTAATTGACTAAGTGGGAGATTTCTGAACTCCCATTTTCCCATTACTTATTATCCTAACAAAGTGATGCAAAGTACAATTTTGTTGGTAATTTGCTCTGCTCTCATAGTTATAGAATATTGAGGTCAGCATTCTAACTACCATAGAAGTTAATTTGAATATGAAACAAATATGGAGAAATAATTGCAAGAAATAATGTCTTTCTTGAGGATATGTTTGTCTTTGTTTACTCATTTTATGAACAATAAAATGTAGGACTCATACACAGACTACAGGAATACTGATGATTGATTCTTAACTTCAGAAATTATACTCTTGATGTGTCTCCACATAGCTAAAAATCAAGAATCATCACTTAGAACTAAATTTATGTTATATAGAGAAATTTAGTTGCAGAGCAAAAGGGAGGAGGTGAATTTAATAATAACCTATAACAGAGAAGGGAAGAAACTATTCAACTACAGTTTTGAAAGAATAAAAATACTTTGGACCTGAAAGGTTGAAAAATAACTTCACTTTTGACCCCTGTCACCTTATCAAATTTTTAGTGTTCAACATTAACCTATAATCTGCAGCCTGTAGACTTGAGTTATTTCAGAGCTGTTTTGACTTCTTTTGCCTGCTTAGACAATTAAGCTTGCACATTTATTGTCATTAATGAAATTGCAGTCATAATTTTTATAATGTATATTCAAACACAGAATTGAACCTTTAAACCTTTTTTAAAAAGCTTTTACTTAAAGCTCCTCTGTAGGTAGTTTAACACATGCATTGCATGAAAGAAATACACTTTATTTTTTCCTCCAGAATTAAAGAGAAGTGTGATCCTGCTTAAATGCTAGTAATACTTTAAAGTAACTTGTAAGATATCTCTTATTTCTGAGTTTTCAAACACATTTCTCATGTTGTTGGGTTTTTGTATGCAAGTTTGTGTGCTGATCTGACGGGAATAATGAATAGATTTTGGACTGTGAAAGATGTTAAAATGCTATTTCTACTGAGGCATTCAAGTTGCTCCATACAGTGTTCATGGTTTTGTCTCTACAAAAAGATAAAAATATTCTGTAGTTGAAATTGTAGATCAGTTGTGTGTAAGGAGTATTTATAAAAATGGTTGAGATACAAATAAATACTTTTTTGCAGTCCCACTTGAATTTTTTAAAATAGTTTTTTGAATACAGATGTATTCATTAGGATGTTCTCTTTTTGAAAGTGGCCTGATAAATAGTCCACATGGGCAGTTATGGAGCTTATTTATAGTTGTGCTTACCTTCTGTGATCTCTTTTTCAAAGTAGGTGGATGCAGAAATGCCAATCTGCTCACATAGGTATGAAACACCTGCTCTTCCAGCCTAACCTCTTCTTTCAACCTTAGTATTAGAGCAAAACAAGGAAGTTTGAGCCCCTCTATTGGGAGTAACTGGAAAAAAGTCTTAGTTGGTTTCAGCTTGAATATATTTAAATACAATTGTATTTAAGAGAAGTGATTACAGTGTTTACCCTGTGCATGTCTCTAGAGAGAGTATATAGACACACGTGTATAGGCACACACAAACACACAGAGAAGAGCCAGAACAGGATGGCAATTCAGTGAAGACTTTAGGATTTTGCAGCCTGATCGTTTTAGAGAGAAAAGAGTGCAGAGGATAAAAAAGTAATGAGTGTCAGTAGTAACTTTTCTGTCTGTCATAGGAAATTACAGAGATACAGTTAATGTAATTTTGATTTTTGCATTTAATTTTTTAAGCCAATAACATGTTAAGAAATGGCAGACAGACTGCCTCCTCCTCCTACCAGTAACCAAAAGCCTTAAAATTGGGTGATCACTTCAAAAAAGTGCTTGATGGAGAGAGGAAGTCATAAAATAGATTATTATGA